TGGAAGTGCTTTAAATGGTTTGTTATGCAGCAACAGCCAATTGATAGAAATATAAAATTATATTGCTGTCAAGTACTTATTACTTTCTTGTCTCTTCAGTGACCAGGAAAATCATTATTTATTGAAGCTTTTGCTTCATGAGAAATCTGTATGGATTTTAAAACTACATCTAAGGTTAGCATTTACTTTGTAACAACATGAAGAGTTTTATAAATATGTCCAAATAAGTGTCTTTAAAGTTTATTCTATTAATTGGGTAAATAGTCCTCTTGGAAAGGTAAAAAAAAACTGTGTGAAAGTGTCTACTATTATATGTTGTTATTGTTGTTAAGTGCTGTTGAGTTGATTTTGACTCACAGCTTGGTAAAGAAAAAAGAAGAAGGGTTGTGCATGAGGCCATGATAGAGTTGGAACCGAATCGATGGCACCTAACACAACAACAGGGTTTCTGTAGCTGTAAATCATTATGGGAGCAGAAAGCCCTGTCTTTCTCATGTGGAGTGACTGGTGGGTTTGAACTGCCGACCTTGTGGTTAGCTGTCCAATGTGTATCCTACTGTGCCACCAGCGCTCCAGTATTATTGTATATATCTAGAATATATAGATGGCCAACAAATGTCCTCGAAATTTTTCTTAAGTTTTCAAATATTTGGACAAACTATCCTTTCTCTAGTATGTTTATCTGAATTTTAGAACTCAAATTAATGAAATTTTACTATTTGTACAATGTTATTTTGTTGTTGCTGTTATGAGTATTGAGTTGGCTCCAACTCATATGCACAGTACAAGAGAATGAAGTACTGTCCAATCCTAAATTGTCCTCACAATCACTATTATGTATGAGCCCATTGCTGCAGCTACTATTTCAATCCATGTCATTAGATGTCTTCCTCTTCTCTGATGACCCTCTACTTACCAAGCACGACGTCCCTCTCCATAGACTGGTGTTCTAATAATATGTTCAAAGTATGTGCGACAAAGGCTCCCCACCCTCACTTTTATGGAACATTCTGGCTGTACTTCTTTTAAGACAGATTTGTTTGGTCTTCTGGCAGTTCAATATTTTTTGCCAACACCATAATTCGAATGCATTGATTCTTCTCCAGTCTTCCTTACCGTCCAGCTTTAACACGCATGAAAAGCTATTAAAAATACCATGGCTTGGGCCAGGGGCATGTTAGTTCTCAAAGCAACATGCTTGCTCTGTAACATTTGAAAGATCTTTTGCAACAGATTTGTCTAATGGAATACATCCTCTTTAATTTCTTGACTGTTGTTTCCATGAAAACTGACTGTGGTTCCAAATAAAATGAAATCTTTGGCAATCTTTTCTCCATTTACCACAATGGTATTTATTGTTTCAGTTGTGAAGATGTTTGTTTTCTTTACACTTAGTTGTAATCTAGGTTGAAGGCTGTATTCTTTGATCTTCATCAGTAAGTGCTTCAAGTTGTTCTTGCTTTCAGAAAGGATGGCTGAGTCATCTGCATATCACAGGTTGTTAATGAGTTTTCCTCCAATACTGATGCCATGTTCTTCTTCATAAAATTCAGCTTCTCTGATTATTTGCTCAGCATACAGACTGAATAAGTATGGCACACATAATGCCTGATTTTATTCAGTATCTCTTTGTTCTGTTCGAATGAGTAGCTCTTGGCTCATGTACAGGTTCCACTTGAGCACATTTAAGTGTTCTGAAATTCTCATTCTTCACAATGTTACCTACAGTTGAATGCCTTTACAAAATCAACAAAACACAAGTAAACATCTTTCTGGTATTCTCTGACATCAGCCAAGATCCATCTGATGTCAGTACTGATATCCCTTGTTCCACATCTGGCAGCTCCTTGCTACAAATGTTTTTGATTTATCTTCAGCAAAATTTTACTTATTTGTGATATTAATGATATTATTCAATAATTTGTACATTCTGTGGGGTCATCTTTCTTTGGAATGGGCTGTCTTCTAAATTTCTTGGCACAGACTAGTGAGTGCTTTTAATGCTGCATCAATTTGCTGAAGCACTTCAACTAGTACTCTGTCGATTCTTGAAGCCTGGTTCTCACGAATGGTTTCAGTGCTACTCTGACTTCGTCCTCCAGGAACATCAGTGTTTGATCACATACTACCTCCTGAAATGGCTAAACATCAACTACATCTTTTTGGTACAGTGACTATATGTATTTTGTCCATCTTCTTTTTTTTTTTTTAATTGTGTATTATGTGATATCTTTACATGGGAGAACACCAGCTTTACATTTATCCTATTGTATTTTGTGTCAATCCCCTCCAAGTATCACCAGACAACCAAAGGGTACACCCCGCAAGCCTGTCCCCCAACCATCAGCACACAGCCCCTCTCCCTCCCTGAGTCCAGAGTCCCTAGCTGCTGCTCCATCTCTCCACGTCATTGTCTCTGCCTCCATCTCTGGCATCACTGCTTCTCTGGGTAGGGTCCCACACTCTGCTCTTCTCACTTGATGGTCAGGGACCTCTGCTCCTGGACTGTAAAATCAACCACTCTCCTCCTTTTGTTACAAAACATCTACCTTTACATTTCCAACCCTCACAGTCAGTCCTGGTAACAATTATTCACATTGTACCAAAAGATTCTTATCCCATCTCCTTTCATCAGCCCTGTCCCAACAGATTGGAAACCACTCAGTAGAGATTCTACCATCCCCCACACCCTCTGGAATTATGCTCTCTCTTGAAAGCTTGTAAGCTAGTCACTTCTTTCCTTTGTAGCACCCCCATTTTGGGTAGCCAATGTCTAAATTGCCCATCCCTGTCAACCCTCTTCCATCTTCTTTGACGCTTCCTGCATTCTTTAATATTTTGCCAAGAGAATCACCCAATATTGTAACTTAAGGCTTGAAGCTTTTTCTTCAGCTCATTCAGCTTGAGAAATGCTGAGTATGTTCTTCCACTTTGGTTTTCTAACTCCAGGTCTTTGCACATTTCATTGTTAAACTTCATCTGTCTTCTCAAGGTGTCCTTTGAAATTTCCTGTTCAACTCTTTTACTTCATCATTTCTTCCAATTGCTTTAGCTACTTTAACTTCAAGAGCAAGCTTCTGAGTCTGTCCCGACATTCACTCTGGTCTTTTCTTTCTTTCTAGTCTTTTTAATGACTTTTTGATTACTGCACATATGATGCTGTTGATGCCAACCCACAACTCCTCTGGTCTTTGGTTGTTAGTGTCTAATCCATCAAATCTGTTTCTGAGATGGTTTCTAAATTCAGGTACGATATACTCAAGGTCATGTTATGGCTCTCGTAGACTTATTTTAGTTTTTTTCCGCTTCAGCCTCAACTTGCATATGAGCAAATGATGGCTTATTCCACAATTGGCACCTGGCCTTGTTTTGATTAACGATACTGAGCTTCTCCATAGTCTCTTTCCAAATATATAGTCAATTTGATTTTTGTGTAGTCCATCTGGTGAGGTCCACATGTATAGTTGCCATATATGTTATTGAAAAAGGGGATTTGCATTGACTAAGTTATTGGTCTTGTAAAATTCTATCATGTGATTACCAGCTTCATTTCTATCACCAATGTGATATTTTCCAACTATGGATCCCTCCTCTTTGCTTCCCATGTTCACATTCCGATGACCAGTCATTATCAATGCACCTTGATTATATGTCTAATCAATTTCAGACTGAAAAAGCTGGCAGAATTATCCAATTGGACTTTTCAAATCATGTTGTTGCTGTTAAGGGCCAATTCATACTAGTCAGTTCCAATTCACAGTAACCTAACATAGGTTTTCCAAGGCTGTAAGTTTTTGTGGGAACAGAAAGTTCACCTTTCTCCTGTGAAGGAGCCAATGGACTTGAACTGTCGACCTTGTGGTTCATAGTCCAGTGCTTATCCTCTAAAGCAACCACAATCCATTTCACATAAAGACCATCTAAAATCTGACATATGGTCCTTGTCCAGTTTGGGTAAGTCTAATATGCCAATTTTAAGATGGTATATAACATAAATTACACATACACACAGACAAGTAGGCTACAAAAAGTTTGTAAAAAACTCCATTTTTCTCTCAAGTCCACTTTTCAACAAGCTTTCTGAACACCTTTTATGTTTATGTGTGTGTCTCTGTGTGAAAATATTCAAGTATTTTGAAAGAAACATTTTTAAAAGAATATAATAAACGTAAGGAGTAAGAATGGAAGGAGGTTTAAAATTCAGTTTTTCTCAGGTAAAAGAAAAATGACATTGGAAACATTAAATAAAGTGTTGTTAAACCCTAATCACTTTTCCCTTTCAAGTTCTGGTGACATTGTAGGGTAAGCACTGGACTGCTAACTGCAAGCGCCAGTTGCTCTGTGAGAAAAAGATGAGGCTTTCTATTCCCGTAAAGATTTACAGTCTTGGAAACTCTATACAGGGTTGCTATGAGTTGGAATAGACTCAAAGATTTTGGTTTTGGTTTAATATTCACATGGACTAACTTATTTGCATGTGGCACACTTTAGTATCCATACAGAGGTCTTCTCCAGTGTTTCCTATCCTAGTGCAAGGCAGAAACCTAGTAATTATTCACAATGACTTCCCCCTCCTTAAAATTCTTTCTCATTTCCTTTCTATTTAATCTTCCTGATTTTACCTCCTGGATATCTTCCAGTCATCGTCACCTCTCCATCACAGCCCTTGCTATCCTAATAGAGGTTCATCATTTCTTTTCTGGACGATTACAACTACTTTCTAACTAGAAGTTTTGCATAACTTTTACCCCACCTCTCCCCAGCCAAACCCCTCTGTTCACACCAGTCAGAGTAATCTCTCTGAGGCACAAATCATTTACATACTTAACATATGTCAATGGCTTCTAATGCTTTGAATAAGAACAGAATCCTGAGTAATTTGTTAATTCATGAATAAATACATGAATTCATAACATATCACAGATCCCTCTGTTCCTTTGTTTCCTTGTCATTAATGACCTTTCTTTTCATTCTTTTTGGTAATTTAGGATCATATTTACCTTCTCTGTGTAGGACCTGCCACTCGCCTGCAATCCAGGCCTTCCTGGATGCGTACAAGATAGTATAACGCGTCACAACTGTTTCTGGGCCATCAGGGGGTTTCCAAGAAACCAAGGCAGTGTCATCCTCAATCAATGTCACTTTTACTCCAACTGGTGGGCCTGCTGGGGCTGTGTACACATGTGAAGAAGAATGCATTTTTTTTAGAATAAAAACTAAAGGTGTTCATAAATACTCAAATTACCTGGGTAATAAACTGATAGGATTAGAAGAGAGTCTGAAAACCTAGCAACTTCTATCATGAATTTTAAAATTTCAGTTTTTACATATCATTAAGTGATAACTAGCAAAGTCCTAGTATTTTCTTTCTTTTTGAAACTGAATTTCATTTTAATAATGTTTAGAATATTAAAAAGCTAATGAGAAGGTACACTTATAGACGGGGAATTCCTAAGACGAAGGTTATAAGCATTTTCAGGGTCTTGCTAATACTAGCCAAACTGCTTACTAGGAAGGATTAGGGTTTCAGTAGCAGCACCCATCCATTAGACACTAAACTTTACCATTTGGTTTTAAGTCTAGATTGTATTTCTCATAAAGATGTACAGAATGCTAATTCAACCTGGTCAAGGAGGTCACTGACAAAAATGCTTCTGAGATCAAAATATTTAGTTATTCCCTAAAAAGCTGTGAATCACTGAGTTCATACAGAAGATTTAAGACAGCTAATCTATATTTGTGATAGTATATACGTTGGCCTTGTTGTTGTTAAGTGCTGTCGAGTCAGTTCTGACTCATAGCGACCACGGAAAGGGGTTCTGAGGAGCGGCTGGTGCGTTTGAACCACCAACCTTGCAGTTCAAACAGACCTTGCAGTCTATCACATTAACCCACAGTTTTGGTGTTTAATATGTTTGTATGTTTAAGACGAGTGAAAAGTATGGGGAGATGGTTTCTAATACCCCGTCTCATACTGATTGCTGACAAACTGTATAAGGAAGCCCTGTTGTTGTTGTTGTTAAGTGCCGTCGAGTCGGTTCCGACCCATAGCGACCCTGTACAGGGTTTCCGAGGCTGTAAATCTTTACGGGAGCAGAACGCCTCATCTTTCTCCCGTGGAGCAGCTGGTAGTTTCGAACTGCTGACCTTGCGGTTCACAGCCCAATTCATAACCATTACGCTACCAGAGCTCCTTTAGGGCCACTAAAATAAACATCCCTTGTTTTCTCAGCATAATTAGAGCAGAGCTGTAACGCTCTTTATATACCACCTTCATCTTCATGCTAGAAGTAAGAAAATGCAGGTCTAGACACATGATAAATCTTAGCTAGAGCCCTAGGTTACGCTCCAGAATCAGTCCTCAATCAGACATCATATCTACCAATTTATTGCACAATGTTTTGCATCAAGTTGCCACCGTGTAAAATAACTCCTAATGTGAACTCCTTAGATACACAAGTCATTTATTTCCATTTTAAATCATGTGGGTGCAGCCTTGAATAGCACACTAGATTAAGGGGGAAACAAGGCTTCTCTATTGGTAAAAAATGTGGCGCTGTGGGCTAATGTGTCAGAATGCAAAGTCGTTCACACTGCAAGGTCAGTGGTTCAAGCTCACCAGCTATTCTTTGGAAACCCTAAACAGGGTCGCTATGGGTCAGAATTGACTCAACGGCACTTACCAACAACAACAACAACATTGGTAAAAAGGACACGATACAGTTAACTCCATTTCCTTAAGCAATATATACGTTGAGAAGAAAGATTAATTCAAGAAAAGAATTTTTTTAAAATAATTAAAGAAAAACAAAAATCGGACACCCAAAAAGGTATATACAGGCACATCGATTGGCAGGTGGCAACCTGGGAGGTGTCCTCATCAAACTCATTAAAATGCTATATGCATTTTTAAAACAGAAAACATGTAAGGACTTTCTGTTTCTTTTTGAGACAAAACCTGTATGGAGAGTCACTTTTCATTACCTTCTGGAAGTGTGGAATGGTAGACTACAGGACTCCAGGGGCTGGAGAGCTGATCCACATGCAATCGGACAGCAAACTCATATTTTGTATTTGGTTCTAGATCTTGAACCAACATGTGAGTTTCTGATCTATATTAAAGAGTAATGAAGCAGTTAATGATGGTAGCACATTGCTTCCAAATAAAGTCAGTACTTTCAACTGTTAAATCGGACACACTCATACTATCATTATTCATCATGAAAAACTTTAGACTAAAAGAGTAATCTAACTTGACTATCAAAAGTTGTTGTTATTCCCCACATATACACGAGTGAGTCAAAAATGATCCTCACTCTGGTTATATTAAAACAAACCGTTCATGACTGTGGCTGATGACAATACTGAGTGTACACATGAAATGATTCTGTCGAACAGATGAGTGACAGTGGCTTATATGGCAAATCATTTGCAAACCAGACATGGCTATGCCTATGAGACAATCCACAACAGACGTGGGTTTCAAAAGTTTATGTGAGATGGGTATCAAAACAACTCACAGAAGAGTATAAACAGAAGCATTTGGACATCTGCAAACACAATTTGGTGCAATACTCGAAGGAAAGTAAAAGTTTCTTTAAAAAGTTTCATTATTGGTGATGAGATATGGATTCATCACCATGAGACTGAGATTACAAGGCAAAGTATGGAATGGGAACACCCTCAATCACTGACCAAGAAAAAACTCAAAAGTCAACCATCAGCTGGAATACTGATATTTACAGTTTTCTGGGATTCTCAAGGGTCAGTATTGGAACACTATCAGGAAAAAGGTTCTCAACAACCAACAGTGCTCATTATGGTGAGATACTCACTGAAGAGCTAAAGCCTAAACTTTGGATGAAATGCAGAGGACTAATATCCAAGGGTACTGTGATCTTGTAGGACAATGCACATCTGCACACCTCCGCCCACACTATTGACACTCTGCAAAAACTTTGTTTTGAAGTGTTAAAAGGCATCCTCCCTATAGTCCTGATCTTTCTCCATCTGACTTTCACCTGTTTGGGCCCCTGAAAGCAGTCCTTCAAGGATGAAGTTTCATGTTTGATGAAGAAATGAAGACAGTGGTGCTTTCACGGCTCACAGCTCAGCCTAAAACATTTTTTGACAAAAAGCCTAAAAGTTTTTTGACAGATGAACAAAGTATATTCAAAATTTAGGAGATTATGTAGAAAAATGATGTGTTTGTTTTTCTTAAAAGTTGATTAAAACAAATTCTAAAACAGACTGCGAATAATTTTTGACTCACCCTTGTACATTTGTTACCACCCTCTAGAAATAAGCTTGAAAATTGTCTTATTAAGAAGAAACTAGAACATTAACAATCTAGATAAACCCAAACATAAAGAAGATATTTGCTGTTTGACATTTACATTTATTGCTGTATAATCTTTGTTTTGCATCAACTGGAAAGATCAAGAAAAGGAGTCAAATCTTGTGAAATGTCATATAATGAATTAACTTTCTGCATTAGAAGAACATTCTTTCAGCAAGTTCTTTTTGAGAAATTCAAGGAATACGAATATAACAATTACTGAAGTGGGGCAGGGGAAGGAAGAAAAAGAAAGGTGAAAGAGGAAGGTCAAAACCAGCCTTAGCTATCAGTCAAGTGCATATTCTTTTTCAGATTCTGTGATTCTGCAGTTGCTGTTGATAAAATGTCCTCACGTATTTTGCCACTGTCAAAATACAAACATTACTAAATGTGCCCCCCAAACAGAAACAAACAATACGTCTACTCCTTACTTATGGACATGGGTCCAACGATCAGATCGTTATGCAAAAATTGGTGCTATGTGAAAATGGAGGATGACCACATCAGATCACCAAATGGTGCATGATTACATCTTTATGTAACTGCCAAATCATATCAGTACATAGCAGTGAGAATCATGACCGAGTCAAGCCAACACATAACCTTAACCATCACAGCCAGTGCTACTCTCCTCTCCACCTCAGCATCCATCATCACAGCCAGACTTCCAGAGTTAATGTGAAAACAGCTGGATGGAAGATCTCATACTATTATTGTCAGTGCAAAACGTCAGATAATGAGACAGTAGGCAAGTGAGAAGTAAGTGTTTATAAATGTTCCAATACAAAAGGATTTACTCTGACATACTGGAAGTCAATTATTTTTTTTTAATCACCCTGCTGGGGCATTTTTCTAATGAAAAAAATAGAAAAGAGCCCAACTTTTTCATAGCAGCATGAAAATGGGCTCTTTTTTCCATCTTTTAACATAGTAAAGTTAATTCACTTGAAAATGCAGTGGTCCAAATAAGTAATCACTTAAACTAAGTGTCCAAAAGTGTCATTTTTAGGACTGAATATGGTATGAAAGTAAAACCACCAGCTATTTTATAAGTAATGTATGTCCTGAAAAAATGCTTACAGCTGAAGCCCAAGCTGGTAAAAAGTGAGCATGAATGGGGAGGAAAGCAGAGAACAACCATTAACAGAAGCTACATACGTTTGAAGGTACAGAACCAAAGAAGCATTCTGTAGGCCAACAGGGTTACAGCGGATGGTGTAGTTAATTATTTGTGCAGTGGTGAACGCAGGCCTCCTCCAATGCAGGAAGATGGAGGATGAGGTGTTAGCCTTCGCATAGAGATGGTGGGGTGGTGGAGGAGGAGGAACCATGCGATCACGAACAGCTATTGAAAAAGACAATGTTATTTTACCGCACGACATTACATTTGTTGTAGAAAGTGGTAAAAAGGTAAAATCATTATATTCTACCCTGTAAGTTTAGATCTTTCATTTACCAGTGGTTCCCAGTGGTCTAGAGATGTATCATTCAAGCCTAAGCAATTCTTTTTTGAGTTAAATAAGGAATCAAGTATTACCAACACTTAACAGATTCAGAAACAGAAGTATAGAGAAGTCAAGTTACTAGCCACAGACATTCAAAAAGCTAACAGCGGATGAAAACAACAGCCTCTTTTGCAGCAATGAAGCTGAACAGCTCTTACAGCAGAGAAACGGAACAGCAATTGGAGAAAAACAATGAACCTCAAGGTTAACATAGATAAACGTAAACTCAAAATATGGGCATTCAGTGGTTATTTTTCCCAGTTAAATTTCTAGGGAGCTTGCATGCAAAACTAAAATAGGCTCTTGGTATGCAATACATCTCATATAAACAAATATTTATTGAGCATCTAGAGTGCTTGGAAGATTAAAAGTAACAAAACCACCCAAGTAGTCAGGAGACTTAAGTTTAAAGGAGACCAAGGAGTATGCATAGCAGTGAAATGAGCTCCCGGAACTCTTACTTACATACACATCCTGGAGTGCTGACTGTTTGATCAGCCTGGTAGCCGTCTTCTAGGCTATTGTAAGCCAGCAGCCGCACGTGGTATTTTCTTCTGGGATCTATAAAGAAACCAACAGGTAATAATTAGGACCATTTCTAAACACGAGCAAAGGTTCTAGAATCTTTCTAGACTTTGGCTTTAAAACCTTTCTGCATGCATAAAAATTCTAAGCAAAATAAGACTTTTATTTCTTTCCCTGTAATTCACCTTCGCATGGCTTTGCTATTGTGACTACTGTTGCTGAGTGCCTTAAAGTTGATGCTGACTTCTAGCAATCCAATAGAACAGAATATAGCTGCCCTATACGCCTTCCAAAGGTGCTCTGGTAGCATAGTGGTTACGAATCAGGCTGCTAACCTCAAGGTTGGCAGTTCAAAACCACCAGCTGTTCCACGGGAGAAAGATGAGGCATTCTGCTCCCGTAAATATTTACAGCCTTGGAAACCCTGTGCAGGGTCACTATGAGTCGGCACCGACTCCATGGTACTTAACAACAACATAGGGTTTCCAAGACTGCAAAGCCATTTGAACTGCAAAGGCGGTGGTTCAAGCTCACCAGCTGCTCCTCGGAAACCCTATACAGGGTCTCTATGGGTCGGAATCAACTCGATAGCACTTCACAACAACAACAATCTTTTATGGAAACAGAATGCCACATCTCTGCAGATTGTTTTCCCCCCTTAGAGAATTAACAATTGTCAACCCATAAATATAAAACTACACCCAGTGCCATGGAGTTGATTTTAATCTACCCTGTATGACAGAGTAGGATGGTCCCATGGCGTTTTCTAGGATGTAATCTTTAAGGAGTCCTGGTGTGGTGCTGTGGGCTAATGTGTCAGACTGCAAAGTCGTTTGAGCAAGGTCGGTGGTTCAAGCTCACCACCTGTTCCTTGGAAACCCTATACAGGGTTGCTATGGGTCGGAATCGTCGCAACAGCACTTAACAACAACAACAACAATCTTTAAGGGAATACATTGCCAGGTCTTCTTCCTGCTAGTGGGTTCAAATTATCAACCTTTCAGTTAGCAGTCAAGTGCTTAATCAATGCAACACCAGGGTTCCTTACATACTTTTATAACCATGTGCTATTTATTTTCTCCCACAAATTTACATTTTCAAGTTGAGAACGAAATTCCCCAAAAGTGATGAGCTGGAGCTCCCTCTACTGGTGTTCACTGTGTTCATCTAACTACCACAAGAAGAAAACAAAAATATGCATGAAATTAAAACAAAAATATTTTTTTTAGGGCACTGAGGAAATAAGTTTGTAAATGTTTATTTAAAAAAAATAAGGTTGTAAATTTTAACTCACATATACTTCAAAAGATACTTAAAAATAATGAAATAACAATATAAATACATTTAAAGTTAACTACATAAGATGGCCAAGTGGCAGCATCGATGAACTCAAGCGTGGCAACAGTAGGGAAGGTGGCCCAGGACTGGACAGTGTTTCGTTCTGCTGTGCATAAGTTCACTATGGGTCGGTACTGACTCAATGGCACCTAACAACACAACAACGTAAGATGACATTTGACTATACAGTACTTGCTCAGGGTAAAAAGGAACAGTATTATGCATCCCTGTATTTAGTGCTGTTGTGTGCCATCATCGAGTTGTTTCTGACTCATAGTAACCATACAGGAAAGTGTAGAACTGCCTCGTAGGGCTTCTATGGCTGTAAGTCTTTATGGGAGCCAATCTCCACGCGTTGGGTTCTAAGTGCTGACCTCCGGCTAGCAGTGGAGCTTTTAACCACTGAGGCAGCAGGGTGACTATACACCTCTATGTTGTAAGTCTCTAAATACTAAAACACAAAAATCAATTCAGTACTTCAGAATGAAAATTTAGCATCTTTAGTTGCTAGTTGTTGTTAGGTGCAGTTGAGGCAGTTTCGACTCATAGCGACCTTATTTATGCTCAATAGAACGAAATACTGCCCGGTTCTGTACCACCCTCACAATTGTTTTTAAGGTTGAGCCCGTTGCTACTGCCACAGTGCCAATCCATCTCGTTGGTGGGGGGGGGTCTTTCTCTTTTTCGCTGACCCTCTACTTTACCAAGCATGATGTCCTTCTCCAGGGATTGGTCCCTCCTTATGTCAGAAATATGAGAGACGAAGTCTGGCCATCCTGGTTTTTAAGGCATTCTGGCTGTACTTCTTTCAACACAGATTTTTTTGTTCTTCTAGCCATTCATAGTATGTTCAATATTCTTCTTCAACACCAGAATGCCAATGCACCAGTCTTCCTTATTCAGTGTCCAACTTTTACATGCATATGAGGCTACTGAAAATACCTTGGTTTGGGTCAGGCACACCTTAGTCCTCAAACGGATACGTCTGCTCTTGTTAAGAGGTCTTGTGCAGCAGATTTGCCTAATGCAATACGTTGGTTGATTTATTGACTGCTGCTTCCATGAGTGTTAATAGTGGATCCAAGCTAAATGAAGTCTTTGACAACTTCATTTTTTCCTCCATTTATCACAATATTATTGATTGATCCAGTGGTGAGGAATTTTCTTTTCTTTACATTGAGGTATGACCAGTACTGATGGCTGTGGTCTGTGATCTTCAACAGTATTTCAAGTCCTCTTCACTTTCAGCAAGCAAGGTTGTTCAAGAGTCTTCGTTCAACCCTGATACCATGTTCTTCTTCACATAATCCAGCTTCTCATATTAGTTAAGAGTACAGATTGAATAAGTTTGGTGAGAGAATACAACTCTGGAGCACACCTTTCCTGATTTTAAGCCATTCAAGATTCTTAGTAGACAAATCAAATGTGACAAGAGTCTTACAGTGAATCCAAACATTTAAAAATCTAAAATTAAATGTGGAGTTTATTAAATTGACCAATGTAATGGAAAGATATGTACAAATATTTTAGTTATGGGTCAGAGCACTCTAATATTTGATAATAAAAGGTATTTAAAAGGACCTAAAATCTAGAATTTTTATTTACATTTGCTTTGAAAAAATTAAAACCCAAAGAAGAAAAATTCCCTACAACCTAGAATATATCTGCACTTCCCAGGTAACGTAAGGAGAATAAGACTCTTAACATTAGAATATTCTTTCAGAAATGTTTTTCACATAGATTATCATAAAACCCTAAGCGATGTAAGTTATCATATTCCATTTTACAAACTGTGGGACAAAGTAGCATGTCCAGTGTTACATTAAACTGAGTTTAGAGTCAAGAATTTATGGCTATTTCTATGACAAAGTACAAGGAACAAAGGCCATTATTGCAGTGGGTAAGTTTGTCTCTTTATAATGAACTTAAAAATAAAGTCATTTTCAAACACATTAATGATTGTCAGAAAATACAGCAACACATTTGGATTTTATTTCTCAAAATATTTTCTAGAATTCAGCATCGAAACTCTTAAGATTCAAAAGGTTTTGATTGAGGTACATAGTAACTTCATTTCTATCTATTTTTCTGCTTTCCTTTCCCCTAACACATTGCTAAACTCATTAACCAAGCACACCCTGATTTCAGTGTTATAAATAATCCTCTTCCTGGATACAAATGGGCTCTTTGTGGTGAGGGGACTACAATCAATGAAGTGACACAAAACATGTATAAATTATTGCATGTAAAACCTTTACCCAGTTCACAATAAAAAGATGAAAAGATGGTAGCATAAGCTTCAAAAATATTTTTTTATCCTTTCTCTTCTCAATTAGAAGATTATCTTAAGGAAAGCCTCCTGAATGTAATGTATTGTGCTAGGAACACAGCAGATACAGAAACAGAAGGATAAACATATTTGCCTTCAAAGAAGCTCACATATCTTGAGGGAGTCAGCCATGAATACAGCTATCTCTTACAGAAAGTAGATTTTGATGATACTTATGAGTACAGGTAGAGAAATTAATAACACTTCCTCTTATTTCATGAGGGAAAAGAATCACCATTAGAAACATCATGCTGATTCCTGTGAAGCTGAGGTCATACATGTCTAATCTCTCTAACTTTTTTTTTTTTTTTTTACCAATTCTGACACCAAGTGTGCCTCCCTGCTTCTCTCCTAGGTTTGGGAATTCATGGCAATGGCCACACAAAACTCACAGACAGAACTCATGACTATGGTGTATATTATGGAAGTAAAAGAATTAGCAAATGCTCAGGATACAGTTCTCAGGTCAGCAGAGCCTCTTCTCATCTCTGTCCACAGGCAAGTGGATTTCTCCCTTGTCCTTGGCCTCTGAGCCCCTGCGCGGCTCAGAGTCCACCATACCATCTCCTGGTTCTGCTCCTCTTCATCTCCACTGCCACAGCTCTGTAAGCTTCTAAGACCCAAGTACAAAGGGCATGCTCTGCTCTTGTCTCTTCTTCTTGGTGGTAGATTTTAGAAATGGGTTTATATTTTAGAAATGGGTAAAAGCACTCTAATATTTGATAAGAAAAGGTATTTAAAAGGTCCTAAAAGCTAGAATTTTTATTTATATTTGCTTGGGAAAAATAGGTAGGGGTCCCCCACCTTCTTTCTGCCTAGTGGGACGGTAAAATTTACCAATGCCTTTGTTAGGGTTCCATGCACCTTGTAGGGTAAGCACTTGGCTACAAGGTCGCTTTGAATTTCATGATCAGCACTTCAAATTTACCAGTTGCTCCTCAGAAACCCTACACAGGGTTGCTGAGTTGGAACCAACTTAACAACAACAACAACAACCCCCTCCCCACCACCCCATATGAAGAGTTCCATATGCCTTATATCTATTATTAGAAAGCTGTCCAATCTGCTGGGTGGGCCACAAGTACCTTGTTTGCATAGTCGGACCCAATTGTTTGGTGAGAGTGACATGACCATAGCTAGAAAGATCACATTAAAGCAAACCTTGACTCTGCATTCCTTCTATGCTCTGAAATGATGTGTTCGTGCTTTTAGCCATAAAACAAACTCTCCAATTTCTCCCACCTTCCCTTTTAACAAGGAACAGCTTACAATCCATTGTAACATAAGAATTAAAACTTTGATTAAATAGATGAGAGAACAGAGTTGAACCTCTCACATCCCTACCCTGTAGAGTGGACTCAAACGTCAA